AAAAAAAGCACCGAAATAAAGCACCGAAATGTGCGCTGCTTTTCGGTCTGGTTACTACCGTTTATGTCAGAACCGGTGCCATCATGGCACCGGACACCGGTACCCATCCCTAGAGTTAAAGAAGGGCCCAAACTTTACCCAACATTCAGCCTCAACATTGGCTTGCCATAGGGATGTGTGCCGACTCTCCTGCTGTACACTCTCCACACACCCGACTGCACCCCACTCACCCAAGCAACTCAATAGTGAATTTCACAGATGACATGACAGCGGTTGGACTCATCATGAGGGAAGATGAGTGTGCATACAGGGACAAGGTAGAGAAACTGGCATCATGGTGCAGCAGCAACGACCTTTTCCTCAACACCACAAAAACAAAAGAAATAATAGCGAACTTTAGAAGAAGCACATCTAATCGTCATATACATTAATGGGTACTGTGTGGAGAGGCTCTGACTTGAAGGTTCTGGGCCTGTGCCTGGGTGATGACCTAACCCAGAAAACCAACACCTGCGATGACCAAGAACCCACAGCAGCGGCTCCCCTTCCTGAGGGTCCTGAAAAACATTACCCCAGCCAAGAAGTTCCGGGTGTCCTACTATAGATTGATTACTGTTCAGTATACTGGCACACATACCAGTGTGGTCTGCCATGTGTACAGCTCAGCTGTTACTGTCAGGAAGGAGTCACACAACAATAAAAGCCAAAACAAACACACTGAAAAACAGCACATAGTTGTGTAATGGAAGCCTCAAACAACAACCATGATAGATGTCATTAAAACTGAAAATGCTGCTGTTTACAAATTACAAATGAGCAGGAAGCAGTCTTATCACCATTCATAACATATCAAGCAACTACTGGCACTGCTTGGATCATTTCCTGCACTTCAAAATAAAAGCTTCCTGTAAACGTTTTTCACAATATTAGAAAGAAAATTGCCACGAGCAGTTAAACACTTAGACTCCCAGAGATAAGCCATTTGGCTTTTCTACCTATAAAACCCGGAGAGATATTCCAGATATTCACTGCAATGAAACGACAAGTATAGCACGCTTTAATATTTCCTGCATGACCAAGTGAACTTAACAACATCTAAAAAATAATTCAATCAAATATTCACAACACACATATGACAAGGCTGTTGCAATAATAAATAATAAACAATAAATGAACATTGTTATACAGCTTTACTAACCTGTGCAATACCCAACCTGTGTAACCAATACACAATGACTGAAGCACACACACACACACGCATGTAGATATCTACTTATTTATATTTCTATTCTGTTTCTACTGTGTTTATTTACTAGAAACGTTTTTAATTTTGTATTTTTGTGAATAGTTAGATTGCTTTCTTTGCACTGAATGAGACTGCATATAATTTTGTTGCACTTTTGGCATATTGACGATAAAAAGACTTCTCGCTGCTTGCCTTCCTGTAAAAGTCATCACACACTGCTGGTGATAAACAGTATCCATTTCCAAGGTGGTGGTAAGATCTGTTAAAATACAGGCCATAGAAAATAGTCACACACAACGGTTTACAAAGTGTGAGGCTACTGTAGTTAGAATTAATTTAGTTATTACACTTTAAATAATTACTCAGAGAGGCAATTAGTCCAGCTGATTCAGTTACATTATCTTGTCCATGAGTGCTAACCACCGCACCACTGTACGGCTTCAGTATCTTGTAATTTGCTAAAATGTTGACAGTGGACACACAATCCCTCACCAGTAACATATCTGCTTGCTTTTTTCTGTAAAATATGCTAAATCAGACTTTTTATCTGCTTTTGGTGTCTTCAGCAGCATTAACTTTTCATCGTTATGTTTAGGCATTATTAACCACACTTTGGTTGTGGTGACAGAAGGATTGTGAGTCTGTAGTGAACAAGAGACAACATATTCACCACTACTCATACAACACTATTACACGTTTCATTCACCCAACGAAACACATTCATGCCTAAGCATATGCATGATTACACACCATCTTACACAAGGAAGACAAGGGATGGGAATTTGTAACAAGTTAGCAGTTACGATTCCATGATCAATATCACTTATTGATTCAATTCCTTATTGATTCTCATTGCGCTCTTAAAGACATCAATGGTCATCAGTGTTGGAGTCAAAAAAGTAA